TGTGGTGATCCAGAGAAATGGAGTGAGGTTAAGGACACCATTGGTAATGACAGATTCCTCTGACTTCTATGGAACGTGTTCGCAAATTAGAATTTCTCTACTCAAGACTTTCTGATTACGATGGAAAATATCTAATTGAACCGTGGAAATTTTTCTCCCCCGCAAATCTATTTTGGTGATAGTCACATTATAATTTACTTCTAAGGCATTTGAAAACTCTCCATTCTGCTTCTATCAACTACTATTCCCAACTGTGACCCATGATCATTGATGACCTACTTTCCCGTCCCCGGTGCACATGCCTCATATGTTCCTGCACCTTGCAAATTCTTCCACTGTCTATCACTCATACTCTCCTCACCTCCCCAACAGTCCCAGTCCTATACTTCCTTTAAGATTCAGCTCAACTTACACTGAAATTCTGCTCAGTCTCCAGATATAGTCCTTGTGTTCTTGGAATTCCTATAGCCCAGTTCTTTATTGTTTATTGATTAGGAGTGATTCCCACCCCACCCCTGCCCCAGGACATTTGATAATATCTGTAATATCTGTAGACATTTCTGGTTGTCACAGCTGTGGTGGGGTGCAATTGGCATTGAGTCGATGAGAGGCCAAGGATGGAGCTAAACATGACAACCCTTCACAACAGATTCATGGACTTTCACAAGGTCCATGGTGTAGAAAAATCCTGCAGGCCAGCCTGACTTTGGCACCCTGTCATTTGGTTGTTCATGACAATGTAGAATCTTAGGGCTGGACAAGAAAGAACTTTTAGAAATCTTCCTATTGCCTCCTGGATTTTATGGGTAAGAAGACCAGCCAAAGAGAATCTGAGAGTTACAAGAGTGAGTGTTCCCTGGCCCCTGGACCGCTGATCATTTCCATTTCACCATGCAATTGTGTCCTTTCTTCCAGTAAGTTTAAAAGTTTCTGTAAGCAATATTGGGATCTTTTATTAAATTTATGGTAATTCTCCCCTTCAACCTCCTACTCTCAGCCTAGCTGAGAGAAACATAGTACATATTTATTGTCAGATTAAAATAACCCTAGATTTTATAAAATAGTATTTTATTCCCTTGCAGACACTTAAAAAAAAAAAGAACTGTAAGCTTATTTTCTATGTATAAACTCTCAAAAGGACAGATGACTACAGCTAAATTCACAGAAAGAAGAAATTCTATAGAGACCTTCTGCAGAAGTAAGGTCAACATTAATTAGAGTAACACCAGCCAACAGAGTCTTGTGCATTTCAATGATGGTTATGAAAATTACCACCTTAGCTGTACAGAGGAAAACAGGAAAAGTCTCTCTTAAGGGGAGTGATTAAATGAAGTCTCACAGAGGAAGTGGGAAAAAAAATCAACAAAAACTAGACACTATGGCACACTGTAAGTTTGTCAGTTTGATCCCATGCACTCTGATTTATATCCATTCCCATAAGTAAATAAATTATTCTTCTTGAAGAAAAAAAACCACATAAGTACTTGTCAAGACAGAGTTCAAAAAGGCTAGGATAAGCATGCAATTGTAGAATAAGAATGAGACTTTATATTGGAAATGAAGAGCTGACTGATCAGTTTTCTGCATTTCTGTAGGCAGAATAGTTTATGTGGAGGTTGTAAGCTTAGGCATGGAGAGAGCTGTTCCTGGATTTGCATCCTGGCAGGGCAGAGGGCAGCTATGTAAATCAGGTAAATGCCAGACTCCCTCGAATGGTTATCTCCTCAGCTTTGATGTGACCATCATTAACAATATTTCCCCAAATAAAATATTGTTTGGATAATTTGATGAAAGGAAACAAGAAAAATGCTCACCATTGTATCCAACTACATCTAAGAAATGAATAAATGAAAGTTATTGTTACAACAATTTCTATTTTCTATCTTATTTCTGAAAAGAATGGAATTACTTAGTTTTGCAAAGTTGATTTGATTCCATCAGAAGAAATGTGACCTCTCCTTCAGAAAACAGATGAGAACTTCCACTACATTTCTGTCTTTACATTTAAAATAAAACAGTGGGCTCTTAGATACGTACATATGGAAATTGTTTTTTATGTGAACAAATCTTTAGAATTAAGGACCTGGAAAACAATGTAAGCTTGATTTTCTTTCTTTCCTTCCTCTTATCCTTTCACCCTGCTTCCTGTTTTCCCTCCCCTCCCCTCCCCTCCCCTCCTCTCTCCTCCCCTCTTCCTTCCTTCCTTCCTTCCTTCCTTCCTTCCTTCCTTCCTTTCTGCCAGGGATTGAATTCAGGGGCACTCAACCACTGAGTCACATCCCCAGCCCTATTTTGTATTTTATTTAGAGACAGGGTCTCACTGAGTTGCTTAGTGCCTCACTTTTGTTGAGGCTGGCTTTGAGTTTGCTATCCTCCTGCCTCAGCCTCCTAAACTGCTGGGATTACAGTATGTGCCATTGTGCCTGTCCCTTCCTTTCTTTCTTAAACAAGATGTGCAAATGCACACATTACTATGACCTCTAAAGAGAGTGTGTCAACAACTAAGCATTTGGGAAAGTCTGGGAAGGGAATTTTCAGAGCCTTGGGTTCCAACCCTGGCTCACACATTTTGTCAGGCAAATCACATACCCTTCTCTCATCTGGAAAATAAGGGGCTTACAGTAGATGATTAATGAAGTTTCCTCCAGTTTTAAATATGATTGCATTTTTCAGTCCTACAGAGCCATATAGCATTCATGCAATTTAAATTCATTGTAAAAAACGATCAGTTTTTCTCTCAGGAGAAACAGGATTACCTTTCTTCTTTATTCTAGGCAGAGTTATCTGTTCTTCAGCACACATCTACCACAGGAATGAAGTAATTCAGAATCTGGGGTTGGCACCAGAAGATACACCAAGAAATGACTATCTCCTAAATTAAGAAGTGGATTACAGCTTTGGACAGAACACCTGGAATGTAACCTTTGAATCATCTCTTTAAAAGTCACCTGTTCCTCTTGATGGGCAGAATCACAGCTTCTGGGGCAGGAGTCCCCTGTATTTATCCTTTGGTAGCAAAGCAATAAAACTTTTTTTTTTTTTTTTCCTTTTTCTCAAAGCTGTGTCCAAATTGTTGGATTGGCTTCCAGGACAAGGACTGAGTTTTGGGTAACACTGTCTTTTTAAAAGTCAGTTCAACCCATGGAAAAAAGAATTACTCAATTTTTAAATGGTATTTTACATCTTGAATACACAATTTTGTACAAGCATTTGTTATAGTCTAAATTATAAAATCAGAGCCAGCTTTGTAATTGTGTGAGCACAACTCACCATGTTTAGGAGGGTTTGAAGGTTGGTTTAATGCTTTTATTGTTGAATTTAATGATGTTTGAACAGAGGCCTGCATTTTTATTTTGCACTGGGTCCTGCAAATTATGTAGCTATTCTGGTTTCAATTTATAATTTATACTTTAATTTCTAGCCTGGGATTCTCTCTTTTCTTAGTTGGACACCCAAATGGGTATCTTTCCTTTGCATTCATTCTCAGGTTTTATGTTAATATACAAGTAGAAAGGGCTGCCTGCTAAGCTTGACAGACTACAGGATGTGCTGCCAACTGGGCACAGGACGAGCAGTGCCTGTGTTTGGCTTCAAAGGGCAGGAGCTTCATCTTTCAGCCTCAGCCATCTGCAGTGTCCTGAGCTTCTGTTGCCAGGAATTCTCACATCAGTGCAAGTGTTTGTAATCGTCTAGCAGACAGCAGGGAGGACTCAGCAAGAGTAGAAATAATCGTTCTTTGAAAACTAGAGGCCATCAGTCAGCTGGGGGGGGGGGGRGGCTCGTTCTGAAAACACCCCAGACCCCAGCCAGCCCCCTTCTTGTTGATCGGTGTTCTCCAGCAAATCTCTGCAAAGAACGATTTTGATGGTTCTGTTTTGGAAGGAGTCTCTTCAGGTCAGTAAAGAGGGAGCTACTTTAAGAAAGGCTCTCAATTCTGTCAATGCTTGGATGATGATTCCATTTCAAAAATACTTCTGACCTCTTGTTTCCTGTGTGGGGTCCTTGAGCCAGGTACTGAGGGGGTAGCAGTAAGCCCACACAAAGCGGATGATTACAGTGATCACAGTGGCCCAGACATCATGGGTTTACTTCCTGGCATGTGAAATGGGGATAATAATCATCCTCACACTGATGTGAGGTTATAAGGAGACCATAAGTGACTGGACACTTGAGCTACATGAAGGAGTATTTGGGAGGTGCAATACAGGCACACAATTAACCACTCCTCCAAACCTCCACAAATTATTCCTGGAAATGTATACAGCTCTTTTCCTCAATAGAAGCATCTTACAATGGAAGCAGGGACAGGAGCAATTAAACTTATTCACCTTTCTTCCTTAATTTTCCAAAGGAACCTGACCTCCAGCGCTGCATCCCTTCCTAGACCAGTAACCGAAGGGAACACTACACGGATTGAGATAGCAGTAGAGAAAAAGGAGGGCCCGCCTTCCGATGCTGGCCTAGACTGCACTTCCAGGGCTTCCCGGCTGGCCTCCCCACTTCCTTTTTCCCCTCCCTCCGCGTCGGATAATCCTGGAAGACGCAAGGCTTTCAACCAGCCCCTGCCTGGGGCTCCCGCGTAATCCCGTGTAATCCCGACGCCGCGGTCAGGCGGGGTTTGGAAAGGATGCCGGCGCGGGGTAGAGGGTCGAGATGAGGCGTGGCCGGGCTGCAGTGGGTGGGGCACAGGCGGGGCCAAGCCTAACCCGCGCGGCTGCGGGGTTCGCAGAGGAAGCGGGAGCGGAAGGGAGAGGCGGAACCGGGCAGCAGTGAGCGGGGCCGGAGAGGCGGGGAAGGGGGCACGGCTAATTCGCGCGGCCGGGAGGAGCCTGGGGTGCGGGGAGAAGCGGGAGTTACAAGGGGAGGCGGGGCCAGGCCGGAGTGGGCGGGGCCGTGGGAGCGGGACCTTGTGGCGGAGCCCGGGAACGGCGGGGAGAGGCGGGGCCGAGCCGAGGGGGTGGGGTTTGGGTGGGGCTACGGCGGGGCGGGACGCAGGGCGCGCGGGGGCCGACCCGGGCCACAAGGTCCGTCCGCGGGTTCCAGAGCCGCGCCGCCAGCCTGAACGCCGTACGCGGCGCCCCGGGGGAGAAGGGCAAAGCGACGCGGCTATGGCTCCGCGGGGACTCCCGGGGTCTGCCGTCCTCGCCGCTGCCGTCTTCGTGGGAGGCGCCGTGAGTTCGCCGCTAGTGGCCCCGGGTGAGTGCCCCGTTGGGGCCGGGCGCCAGGTGCGGAGCCGGGACCCAGGCGCGCGGAAGGAAGCGTGGGTTCGGGACTGCAGCCCCGCTGTGCCCCGCGCTGTCTGTTCTGGCGCGGCCGCGGGGTCCTGGCGTTGAACGTCTGGCTGGCCCGGGGTGGCCCGGGGTGGCCCGGGCGGGGCGCGGCCTGAGGCAGCGCCTGCCTTCCCTCCCTTCCCGCCCGCGGGCTCCCGCCTGCCCTCCCCGGGGACCTCTTCTGTGGACCTGTGTCGCCCCAACTCCGAGCTGCCCATGGTGTGGGGACCTGACTTGGTGTCGCCTTCCTTGGATGCGCTTTCTCCCTGCCCTCGCGCCTCAGACCCCCGAGGACCCCTTTCCTGCCGCCCTGTGTCTCAAAGGCCCTGCGAGCGGAAGATCATGACGCGGGACTGGGTGGCCTGTCGTCGCCTCCCTCATCTTTAAAAAAAAAACAAAATCTTAAAATCTTGAAGAGTCACAATGTCTTTCTAGGTTTTTATTTTAGTGTTTGATGGATTCTTGTAACTGGTCAGGGGTCCAGATTTCTTCCCATATATACAGGATAAATTAACGCGGAAGGGAAGGCATATTTGTAAACTTACTTTTTTTTTTTTTTTTTTTTTTTCTGTGTCAATTCCTGTCATCACCAAAGGAGCCTTTAGTGGCGGTAAGCCACCAGCAGAGATGCTGAAGTGTTGTCTCCAATGATGAACTACCTGCAGGAGTTTTTAATTGAAATCTCTAAAGAGGAGGTATAACTTTTATAGAAGCTCTAACACTCTTGTTTTTATAACTTCAGACACCAGGGATTTCTTACCATCATCCCCCTATTAATTGCCACCCAACAGCAGTAGTTTGGAAAAAAAAAAAAAACTTATATCTTGGCCATTTGGGGTTACCACAGCTTGGAATCTTACGTCAGCAAGCTCTTCCAAGCTTGTCTTCAGGGTGGCTCCTCTTCAGTTCAAATAATTAGCAATTGGAAACCTTCCAACAATGATTATCTTCTCCATAAAAAATACATACCCTGCTCTTCCTCCTGAGAACATTCCAATCACTTACAGCTTTTAAAATGGCTAATCACTTTGGCCTTTGCTTTTTCATAGGAAGCAGAACAGGTTAGGAAGGGAATAGGAGGGATAGTGTGTCTCTTGAGTCTTTGTTATCAGACCTGTGTTTCCTTCAGCCATGGGGAAATGACAGTGAGTGCCATGTCTTATTTGATGGGAGATTTTTGATTTTCATCCTGTGTTTCATTACTGGGACTAAAGGTACATAACTAGGTTCAAATTGGACTCCAGACTGTCGATAGTGCTTCAAGGGCTAGGATCAGATGCTCCAGAATTTGGAAGAGAGCTCAACCTGTGAGTAAAATTGTTAAAAATTTAGCATATGATGCACATAATTATGGGTCAGCAGGGAAAATCTATTCCTAGAACAGGTTTGTATTTTTATAGATCTCTGAGCAACATCCAAGTCTGAGGACTCCAGTGTGACTGAGAAAGCCCTTATCTAATATTGCACAGTAACCTTTTTGATGAAAGTTATTGCTTAAAAAGAATGAGGTATCTAAAAAAGGAAGGAATACAGAGTATCAATTTGTTAGTGTGATTTAAAACCTGTATCAAGAGAAGATGTCTTAGCCAGGTGTGGTAGCATATGCCTATAATCCCAGCGGTTTGGGAGAATGAGGCAGAAGGATCATGAGTTCAAAGCCAGCCTCAACAAAAGCGAGGTGCTAAGCAACTCAGAACCAGTCTCTAAATAAAATGCAAAAATAGGGCTGGCACTCAGTGGTTGAGTACCCCTGTGCTCAATCTCTGATTCCCCCCCCCCCCAAAAAAAAGATGTCTTGAACAGCCAACATCTAATCTCCTTGGAACCAAAGGCTTGCTAATGTTTGTTAGGGAAGTAGGAAGAAAGCCAGGGGATGGGAAGTCATGTTGAGAGCTTGGTGTGTCCCAGATTTGGGGTTGGGAACTTTGTATATATTAAAACATATCTCATAACCCTATGAAGTATTTATTTTCAGTGGGACAACGTCACACAGATATTCTATCAGTCGGCATTCAATCAGAAAAGCACAACCACTAGGGGCTGTGTGTGTATCTGTGTGCATATGCACTTGTATATGTATGAATATATGTATTCCCTGCCCCCCCCCCATAATCCAGCCTGCTTAATTCTAAAGTTCATTTCTGTTCCATTGTATCCCACTGTATCAACTTTAGCAATCTTGCTGAGATTCTAAAATAGAGAATTTAAGATGATAATATTATAAGCATGTTGTTATCCGAAGTTGTGAAGTAGAGAGGACAGATAGCTTTACAGTGGGTAGTGGCAGTATCTCTTTCACTTCCTTTGCAGCAGAAGAGTCTCACTGAACGTCTGTCTCTTAGAAGCAACATTTGAGACTATATACCACAAACATCAGAAGGGGTGATTTTCCACATCTTGGCTTATTTATGTCAAGTTCTCTGGTTACCCAGCCTTAGGGCTTATTAGTTTCTCAGTTTCTCTACCAGGCAGTGGGCATGGCCCCTGAGTAAGGAGTGGGTGAAAAAGGTGCAGGGACCAGTGAGATGAGAAGTGTAGAATCCCAGGTTCTGTGGGTTTCCATCCAGTCTCCTGACTTTTCATTGAGATGCTAAAGATAAGCTTTATTAAATTCTGGGTTCTCCTTTGGGCAGGTAGCTGACCAAATGTACATTTACATAGTACGTGGCCAGTGAGTGGAATGTTTGAAAAAGCATTCTTTGGAATTCCATGATCAAAAATTTAATTTAAAGAGGAAATGAAAACTTGAAAAGTGCCTGTCATTTCCTCCCTATCCTTTGCATATTCCTCTCCTCCAGAAAGAGATGAATCAAACAAACTATTTGGGAATTTGAATAGTTGGATTTGAACCAGAGAGTCCATAGTTTCAGGTGATACAAAAATTTCATCATTACTTTTTCAAGAATTATTTGGCTCTGATGTTAAAGTCTAATTTAAAAAATTTAAAAAAAAATTACCAAAAGAATGATCTGCTGAAAGCCAGTATAATAGAATGTAGTGCAGCTTACAAGGACTAAAATTGGAATTTTTGCATACATCATGGGTATTTTATTTTATTCTTTTTGGAAGAGGGGATTTGATGTTTATTATGTGTTATGTGGCAGGCAATGGTCTAAGTATTTAGATCATTTAATTAACAGGGTAGTAGCAAGATGTAGTAGAACTAGCACTTTGCTTTAAGTTATAGCCCTGGATTTGCTGTCAAAAGCTAAAGAGAGATTCAACTCTGCCATTGGCAGAGTATTATTCTCTCTGCCTCCATTTCTTCACCTGTGAAATGGGGGCATTGTGCCTGTTCTGGTTTCCATGTTAAGTTCAAATAAGCTGTTACCTCTGAAAGTTCTTGGCAGATGGCACAGTGGGAAGTCTTTTATCTGTGTATTTATTGATTTTACAGCACAGAAGTGCTCCCTTAGACTTGATTTAATTATAATATATGTCAGTTAAGACTAATAAATGTAGACCAAATGTTCTATATGGTTTGTATCCTGGAGGTGGTGATGATGTTGCAATGATAAGTTGTAATTTTCTAAAAGCCCAAAGTGACATCTCAGATACATGGGATTGCTGCTATTGACAAGTAGTTAAGTGGTGAAGTTTTCCTCATTCTCCCTCAGCTAAAATATAATGCTGCAGGTATTTTTGGAAAATCCCCTCAAATTTTGAAAGTTTGTGTGGTAAGGGGAAGAGAAACACCTTAATCCCATTACTCTGAGCACCTTTCACTGTTAGTATATTCTGGTCCTCTCGAAATGTATCCTGTACTTCAGTAGGATCATAAGGCAATGCAAGTCTATTGTATCCTGCCCTTTCACCTTATATTCTATATAAAGGTTTCTACTTTTTCCTATAAACTAAAAAAATGGCTGATGATGTTTTATTGTGTGGATTTGCAGTATTTTACCTCACTGTGCCTCTTTTAGGAGGTTGCAGTTATTAACTAATTGTTTTAAACCTCATTGTTTCTGGGGCTGGGTTTGTGGCTCAGTGGTAGAGCGCTTGCCTTGCATGGGTGAGGCACTCGGTTTGATTCTCAATGCCACATAAAAATAAACAAAAGAAGATATCTACAAATAAAAGAAAAAAAACTCATTGTTTCCATGTATACTTTTGTGCATGATCTTGGATGACTATTGACTTTCACAGAAAATGGTTCCTAAAAAGGCAATTTAGAGGTCAGTGATATTCACATTTTTGAGGCTGTTGATGATTCCAGTGTTGATCTGAAAGTTGTCCTAGTTTGTTTTCACAGCCATGGTTTAAAAGTGTCACATTTCACACTCTTGGCATTTTCCCCCTGAGAAACATATTTGCCAATCTTTTGGGCAGAAATTGATACCATGATTATTTTTATTTTTGCATTTTGATTAGTAGCAGATTGATTATTTTTTTTTTCTAGCATTTGAGCCATTTTGACATGCCTACAATCCTTTCTGGGCAATTCTCAAATGTGAAAAGTTTTGAAAAGAAAAATTTTTGTAGGCTTTTGGTATATCCTTAGGGAGAGTGGGATGGGTAAAGGGTGGTGGATACCCTGGTGATAAAACAACCTGAACTAAGGTGAGATTCTGGAGTATGTATTTATCTCACTTAGTCTGAATATTTTCCTATAGTAATACTAACAAGTTTGATTTCTGAGTATTACACAATGTGTGTTAAATGCACCACATTTCCTTTCTAGAATCACAGAATCTGAATTTAAGCACATCTGACCTCCAAGTTTCCAGATAAGGAATTATGGTTCTGTATTTCCTCTTTGACTCAACTATTCAGTCTGTTGAAAGTTAAATGTATGTATCTTCTGTAAATATCCAAAATAGCCTATAGAGAAACACAAAAACTCTACAGAGGTTTTCAAAAATATCAAAAATCTGAAGTTTTTTTTTTTTGTTGTTGTTTTTGTTTTTTCAGTACCAGGGATTGAAC